GCTTCAGCATCAGATGCAAACAGGATACGGAAACAAGATCTTTCTCCTCCATTTACTTTTTCTTCATTCCAACCTCTGGACATAATCCTCAGTCCCATTCCACTGGCCTGCTTCACCATCTGACACTCCTGATTTTTACTTTCTCAAGGCTTAGTGACTGCCCTGGCCTTCCATTTCTCTGATTGTTGTTGAGTTTGCGCATTCCTCCCCAAACCCCACCCCTAGACAGACCCCTCAAAAAATTTCAACTTAAGGAAATATATCTTGAACAATTTAATTCACAGATTTAAACTCCTTATCCTGAAAGCTCCCTCCCCATTCTGTTGAAAATGTTTGACTTTTCAATAACAATCAAAAGTTGCTTTTCATAAAAATATTTCTCCAGTTGGAAGACATGTACAAAGGGCTTTGTTAGAATAGCAAATGCTTTTTTCCCCCAGTCTTCATCCACATAATAGGAAGTCACTATTAAAACAAAACAAAACAAAACCCACCCTGATTGTGTATTAGCCACATGAAAAAGCACAAGAGTATAGAACCTTCACCCCACCACACAGCCAAGAGGGAAGTGACAAATGAAGGCAATTCTCATGACAGAAAACATCCAAAGATATAGAAGCTATTTATTTTAGAAAAGGGGAGAAGAGAGCCAGAGCGCAATAAAAAGAGAGAGGCTTAGGGTAGACAGATTAACTAGAACTCCTTCTTTTCTTTATTGACCAACACTTTAAAAAAATTAACCGTAAAGTTTGAAAAGCAAAACCGAACCTATCAAAATTAAAAGTGAACAATTTTTTTGATAAAAATGAGATGTTTTTAGCAGAATTATCTTTTAACCTGAACACAAAACAATTATTGCTTTTAAATTTCTTACAATCTTAAAGTTTTAAAATTAAAAACCTAATCCCTTTAACCTAATATACCCTAAGCCACTCTGATTTAAAATTACTTCTGTGCCAGCATCTTCTAGTATTGGTTTGCAATGGAATTTGTACAATTAATAATAACCTTCTTCCCTCTGTTTCTAGAGAGCCAAGGATGACATATCTCCTTATCTCCCTATTTGTTCCATCAGATTGACATATTTTGCCTCATCTGTCACCTTCCATAAAACTCTGCTTTCAGATATGAGTTAATTCATTTTTAGTTGTCCTCAATGTTCTAAAATAGTGATGTTTGACAGAATTAATAGTGTTCTAGTTCTCTCTGCTCAACTGGTATTTAATTAAAGATCGTGGAGGCCATCTTTTTCCTGGATTATACCATTTAAAGAAGGAACATTACTTCCTCCATGGACAATATGAATAACGCACATGGCAACAAAGCTGCCTTCCAAGGTCTCCCATTTACCAGACTGCTTTACTATGTATAAACTACCAGCAAGACAGATAACCACTTTCACATTGATTTTACTTTTCACATCTCTGAACCACAACTCTACTATAGCCTACATTCTCTCTTCCCATTAAATTTCCAGAATTTTTGGAGTTTTACACTCCCTTATATTTTTATTTTATCACTGCTTTTGTTTCACTTGGACCTCAAAAAGTCCTAATGGCATTTAACCTGTAAGATTTTTTTGAATCTCTGGTAACAATGCAGAAAATCTTTAAGCAATCAGAGCTACCTTGGAGCACGAACTGAAAATTCCTGTTTTAAATTCTTCTGAATTAGTATCTTTTGGAGAACAGCCCACTCAACTTGATATGTCATAACTTTCAATTCTAAAGGTAGCACAAATAATTTAAATTGGCACTTGCCACTTATTACACAAATGATTGTTCTCTTGGATGGCTTTTTGTAAGCTAGCACTTCTTAATCATTTTTCAGCTATATCGGGACCACAAGAGACATGTCAATTTAAGCAAACTTCAGGAGCAATAAACTAACAAACAGACTCTAGGTGGTGGTATAGGTTATTTTTTATCATGATGTTTTGCTCTTAAAACTGCAAGAGCCTTTAGTTTCTTTTACAGACACTTCTTTATTGGAAACTAACAATATTTTAGGGCATTTAAATTAGTAAAATCCAAGTTCTGCAGAGTTTAGAGACACAGGCAAGAAGTGGTTCTAAGTCAAGACTTCCCATAGCCGTTAAACTTGGTTTTCAATTATCTCAAAGGCACTACAGAGAACTCATTTGAATATAATCAATAAGAAATTATATATATATAATTGAATATGTATATGAAATTCATTATATATATATATATATATATATATATATATATATATATATATATATGAAATTCTCACACACCTAGGGCATCTTTAGGGGTAAGTATGGAAAGAGATCTTTCCCCACCAGAGGGTATGAAACAAACTAGAGTAACAATCCTACAGCCTACAGTAGCTGTTCCATTGACTGACTGACTCTTCTTTGTCTCCAGGAACTAATTCCAGGCAAAGAAAAGTTACTACTGGTCATGACGCCACACATCTCTGAACCAGTTAAACCCAATCCACATTACCAAATGGCTGAGCAAAACCAGTACAACTTACTTCGAAGGAAAAACATTTCAACATACTCCAGGCAGCAATCCACACTTAGGAGCCAAGCAGTTGAAGCACCATTTGTTTAAAACGTCCACTTATTTCAGTGTCTCTTCAACAAAGGTAGCAAACTGGTGATTAAACACTGAATAATCACATCAGGAAGATGCCACCCACTTCCTAAACCTATGATTCACTAATAAGCAGGTTCAATGCAATTCATAACTTTCAAGAATGAATTAGCAAAGCCCTTGGCTTCAGAAATCCACCCCGCCCCCCCCAAAAAAATGCGAAGAGCATTTATCATTATAATCTGACAATCATTTTTATTTTGGATATCTATAACCAATCTTTCTTCCTTTAAAAACAGTTTTTCCTGTACACTCTCACGTTTAATCATTTACATTACATTACTGGAGACAAACTCCAACTCAGTTCCACCAAGTGAGTGAAAAGTCCTTGTAGCTGGAAACGTGTTATTATTATTATTTTCAAAATAAAATATCCTACTAAAAATGTTTTAAAAACTCAAAAGTACTTATCATTCTGTTATTTTACTACCTCAGAACCCTATTAAGTCACTAATGGGACAGAAGGTAGAAACTCCCGTAATGCTTCGGAGATCAACATGTGTCACAGGCTCCCAGCTTGTTCGCCTCTCAGACACAGTTGATTCCTTTGTTCCTTCAGACTGAACACCAACCAACTCTTGATGAAAATTTGTCAACTACTTTGGAAAGAATGGGAGGGTTTGTAGAATATTTCCAGGGAAATCCTTCATAAAACAACAACACTCGCGAGTAGTAAGAACACAGATGAAGGCGGACAGAAAAGAAGCCTCCCAGGACCTCCACGGGCTCACGGGCTCACCCTAAATGTGAGCCCGTCCCTGGCTCAGGGGTAAAGTGATGGTTGAGGCCTCGGGTCCAGGGAGCTCGCCCTCGGGAGGAGAAGGGCAGTGCCGCCGGGCCGCGCCCGGGGCTGGGGGTCTGGGAGCGCTGTCCCTTTTCCTACTCACTTCTCCTGGCCGGGAATCAGGCAAGCTCAGGGCAGGGAGGCACCGGGAGAGAGGCGGGGAGCGGCGCCCGGCGCCGCCCAGGACGCCCCCGGGCAGCAGGACCTGGAGCTACGCGGCGAGACGCGCCCCAGACTCGGGGCCGAGGGGGCAGCCGAGCGGGGCGCGACCCCGGCCCGGTCACCCGTCCCCAGCCCGGCTCGCAGGGCACACGGCCCCCGCTCCTCGACCCGGGACTGGCACGGACCGGCCGGTGAGCCCGGGGCCAACTCCACAACTTGCTGGCCCCGCTGCCCGGGCCCCCCGAGGTCCCGGGGAGATTCGGAGCCGGCAGAAGAGGCGGGATTCCCCCGGAAACGATTCCTCCCCGCCGCCGAGCCCTCCCCGCTGTCTGCGTTCGCTCCCGCCGCGGGTCGCGCTGGCCTCGCCGCCCCGACGCCCCCGCCGGCCGCTCCTCCGAGTCCCCCGGCTGCGGCCGCCACTCACCGGAGGCCGCCGCGGCTCCAGGCTTCGGGCTCCGTCAGGCTCACTCCACGAAGGCGCCCCGCCGCCCCGTCCTCCCTCGGCGCCCCGGAGAGCTCCTGCCTCCGATCCGCAGCGCTGCCGAGCGCAGCGGCGGACGCGAGGCCACGGGCGGGCGCGCGCGGGCGGGCGTGGGGCCGGGTCGTCCCTCCGCCTCGCCGCCGCCTCCTCCTCCGCCACCGCCGCCGCCGCCGCCGCCACCGCCTCCTCCCGAGTTCGGGGCTCTGCTGCAATGTCTGCGAGGCTGACTTTGAGCGCCTCGCTCGCCGCCCGCCCGCAGCCGCGCTCCTCCCTCCGCCGCCGAGTCCGCCGCGGCCCAGTCCCTCCCCTCGCCGCTCCACGCCATTCAGCTCCTCAGCCAAGTTTCTTAACCCTTTTTTCCCCCTCCCTCCCATTGTCACGGGGCAGGAGGAAGCCACTCGGGTCCCGGCAGCTCACGGGAGCCGAGGAGCCCCCTCTGTTGTGTTGTTTTCCTCCTTGCCCGCCCTCCGAATGGCCGGGCGCGGGCTGCAGGGCCCCGAGGCAGCGGGAGGACCGCGGTGGCCGGGAGAGATGGGTGCTTCCTCGCATCCGAGTCGCCCCCCTGGGCTCCCGGCTCCGTCCAGCCGCCCCCGACCGCCGAAGGCGCCTGGATAGCTCCTCGCTGGGGCCCGGGGCATCGTTGTCGATACACAGGCCAAGGGCTCGTGTTTGGGGCACAGCCTGGGGGCCGGGACGCTCAGGGTCCCCGCCTGGGTGCTGTCGCCTTCGGCCTCCCCTCCTCCCATTTCACCCAACAGCACGCGTTCCCTTGGCTCCCTCTCACCCAACCCCAACTTCGCCACCTTGTGATCTGTGTGTCCTGCTTTAATCTTAGGGGGGCAGGGGGGACGAGCACTAACTCCAGGTCACTTTGACCCCACGCCCAGCACGTAGTAGGCACCCAGGAATAAATGTGGAGTGACTCCAAGAGGGAAACTGGGAAGGAGACCTGAGGAGTGCCCCGTGCAGCTCCTTGGACGGACGAAGGACCCAGGAGCAGGGTTTTATCTTCAGCTGCTTTGTCACTGCGAAGTCACCAGCGGAGCCTGTCAGCGAATATACTCATCCCCGGGAAGAATTTGACCCTGCCAGACAAGGCAAACGGAACAGGGCTGCCACTTTGTCGGCAGCTCTCCTCGGTTCAGTCTCCGAATAAGAAATAACAATTACATCACGAGGCCCGGGCGGCAGCGCTGTGGAGCCTCTGGGTTTCCTGCAGCTTAATCTCGTTGAACCCGCCTCTAAATTGAGGGAATATGGATTGGTGACGAGAGAAAGTGGAGGGAGGAGAGAGTCACACGAAACCATAATTTCCCTCTTGTATTTGATGTTATAAAATCTTATCCTCAACGCTCCCCAAACATCTAACTATAACTATTAACACCCCCTCAACACCTCCCCAGATGTCAGGTTTCTTTTCGACTCTAGCATCTAGCATTTAGTAACTCGCCAAGAAAAAAAAAAATTAAAAAACCACCAGGGAAAATGAATGCTGTTGCTGAAATTGTTTTTGCTTGATATAGAAACGCCAAAGTACAGCTTAGAACCTCACCCTAAACTCCGAAATGGCATGCCTGTGTTATAACACTTATTACACAAAACAAATGAGTGTATGAGGCACTCCATTTTTATATGTAGGTTTTCATATCCTTTAGAATTCTGTAGCATTTGAAGATAGAGTTGCTAGTGTGCCTAAAAAGAACTATGCAAGTCATAAAACAGTATTCTGTGCCTGTTATGTAATGGCTGTATTGTGCATTCAAAATTTCATTTATCCTTTAAAAATATGAATAAGAGTTTTGGAATGTCTTCACAATCTTAAAAGTGAAAGCAATTTTTCAAATTAATGCTTAATAAACCCAGCACCTAGTACAGTGCTGGGCACATAGTGGGACTACAGTGCTTAATGGTGATGGTGCATTTTAGAACAATTATTTTACATCACCCTAGTGATTCAACTGTGTAATCAGTTGTGATCCTGTCTAGTTTAAACCTCATATGGTAGTTTATTATTTGCATATACCACAATTTGAAATCTGCTCAAGGGAACTTAGTAAAGTCTGCTTTTGTATAGTACATCATTCATCCAGGATTGAGGCAAAGCAAACTGTTCCAATTAAGTGATGATCAGCATAATTACAGCTTGGCCCTCTAAGGCATCAAACATTTTTTTTAAATGTTTTTAACTTATACAAAGATTTTTCTAATGTGAATTATAAATGTTTCTCTTAAGCAATTTATTGGACTTCATTTGGCTTTTTCTTGAAAATTCAGGGTTAATTTTATTAAAAGTATTTATCATAGTAAGTTGTAGCACATTCAACAAATACATCAAGTTCCCATTCTATGTACGCATAAGGCTACTTCCTAGGTGTTAGGGATGCTCCCAGGAGGTATGTAAGCTACCAATGGCTACAATAAAGGACTAGGACACTATGACCTAGTGATTACCTCTGCCTTCTGTGGTTCCTCTCTCTCCCCATTCACTAACCCAACAATCTGTTGTCCTTTCTGTGTTGCCAGCATGTTTGCCTCTAATATTCTCTTTCTCCTCTGATTCGAAGCTTCTAGTTTCATGCAGACTGAGAATCCAGATAGCCTCACTTGCCACAATTCAATCTGAAGTAAAACTAAATCGATTTTGTGCAGCTCACCAAGGAGTAAGGCACGTGAACCTTAATGCATAAACTTTGGGAGAGATTTTTGGACTGCTCAAATGTTGCTTTGAAAAACATTTTTTTTCTTCCTAACTAGGTTTTGGATCATTGAGATTGGTAGACAAACAACCTTCTAATAAATTAGGTTACACAATTAACCCAACAAACCAAGCATTAGTCCTGCCCTTCAACACTAGTGTTAAAAAGTCCACTGCCATATGTTACATGACTTAACAGCGCTACCCACCTCTTATTATTAATCTATCCTCTCAACTCCACAGAAATCCAATCACTGAAATTCTGAACTCTTTTTGATAGTACATTAATGTTAAGTAAGTTGCACACCTTTTGTGGAATTCATTTTTACTTATGTTAATTGGAGCCATTGTGTTATTGTTCTTTGTTTTTAAAAAATTAATACCTAAATTTCCTGGCTAGGAGAGTCATTGCAAGGATACTGGGGCGTATGTGTAATATAAGAATGCCTGTTCAGTAATTTGAATTTTTAAATTTTCTTTTTAATTACAGTTGACAATCGACATTCAATATTATATTAGTTTCAGGTGTACAGCATAGTGGTTAGACATTTATATAACTTATGAAGTGATCTCCCCTGATAAGTCTAGTACCCCCTCATACCATACATAGCTATTACAATGTTATTGACCATATTCCCTATGCTGTACCTTACATCCCCTTTACTTTTTTGTAACTGCCAATTTATACTTCTTAATTCCTTCACTTTTTTTACCCAGCCTCCCAACCCTCCTCCCAGTAATTTATGTTTTGAAGGCAACTCTCATTTTAACCAGTTGGGATGTGAAAAATATGCCCTTCAGTTTATATACTTAAAAAACATGAGTATTTTTATGAACCAAAGGTTCCTGTGGGATCAAATACTTATAGGGCAGGTTCAATATGTTTATCCACAAAGAAGTCGTCTGGGAGAGCTTTATATATGATGTGTTCCCTGATCCCTCCTATAAGAGCATTTTCCACATCCTTTTGTGACTGGGTGTTTGCATGTCTGTATCCCACTCTAAATGCAAACACTATGGGCGCAGGGTCCGTATCCCTCTCATTCACATTTGGATATCTCCAGCACCTATCCCTGTGTTCAGCAAACAGTAGGCATTTAGTAGATATTGATCAAGGTACTGTCTTATCCCAGAGGACAGAGTGTTTATTTCTGCTTGGGGTACAGGTGTGGGATGAGGGAGTTCAGAGAAAATTTTACAGAGAAAATAATGCTTCAACTGACTATTAAAAGGTAAGAAGCATTTGGCAAGTAGGCAAAGTGGACAAGGGGCTCTCAGGAGAAGTCAAAGGCTGTTTAACAGTAGAACAGTGTGAAGAAAACAAAAATATACATTGAGAATTATTGAACCCACATTATAAACTAATGAATTATGACAACTGACAAAAATATATACAAGTACAAGTCGAACTCCAGTGTAGTTACGCTGATGTAGTCCCTTAGCCTCGAGAGAAGCACAGTTTAATAAAACTAGAGAGTGAGCCACAAATGTAAGCTACCTATGTACTTTTAAATTTTCTAGTAGCTACATTTCAAAATACAAAGAAAAAGGTACAATTAATTTTAATAACACACTTTATTTAACCCAATACGTCAAAAGTATTATTTCAACGTGTACACAACATAAAAATTATTTATTAGATATTTTACATTATTTTATTTACACTAAGTTTGCAAACTCCAGTGTGGCTTTTATACCTATAGCACATCTCGATTTGGACTAGTCACATTCAAATGTTCAATGGCCACATGTGGCTAATGGCTGCCATATTGGCCAGCATAGCTCTAGAGAGTGAATGAAATCTTTAATAGTTAAAGGACATTTCTTTAAATGAAAATCTAAATCTTGTTAAATCTCAGATTTTATTTGTTGGTTACGGGTATTTAGCTATACTATGTTATAAAGACCACTTTCTTGCATCTAAGCTTTTATGCCAATTAGAGAGGCAGCAATGTTTATATTTTATGTACTGTGTACTCATTAACCACATTGTAGATACAACCACTCCTGTCTCTAGTAACTCTGGTGATGGACTGTAAATGTAAACTGGCTTTATGGCAGAAGTAAAACATTATACATTTGGGGTTGAAAAGCTTTAAAAAAAGGTCTTCCCCAGAACACAGAACTACCACTATGCTCATTCCTGTCAAGCATCTTCCTGGCTGTAGGGGTCCAGGGTTTTGCTCTTCAAGTCTCCTTGCCCAGTTACTTAAGGTCTATAAAATCCACCCCATCCTTTGTTTGAGACAGTCACCTGCCTGAAGCTGCAGCACTTAGGATGTGCTGCAGTGCCCTGAGTACTGAGAAAGGTCTAAAGAGCTAAAATAAAGATGTTTAGACACCCTGTCTGCAGGTTACTATGCAGTTTTCCCTAATGAGATTGGAGCTTTTTACTTTTCGTGGAGCTTGAGTGCCAAGAACTGGCAAAACCGGGGCACTCAATTTCTACATTAAATGAATCCTGAAAACTGGATCTTAAAACAAAAAGTCTGAAAATAAAATAGTCTTTATAATACAGTATAGCTAAACACCAACCACTAACCAACAGAAAGCAGCTGAAAGTGTGTGAGAAAAAGGCAGACACTGTAATGAAATACAAATGTGGACAATGTCTTCTTTTCCCCGAACAAGAAAATGTCTAGCATAGTTCGGGATCTAAAGCCAAGAAATCCCAGTGAAGGTAAGGAAAAGCTGTCAGTTTTGATGATGTGTTTAGTTTAACACGTCTAAATGATTGAAAGTAAACATTACATGGAATCCTCTTTTTATGTAGAAATGGGTTATGTAGATTTTGTTAAGCTGTACTGTCATAAATGAATACAAAATTTCTATTTGGGGTTTTACAAACATACATCTGTATATAAATCAGTTGGGTAAATCATGATCCTATTAATTTTTAGAGATTTTATTCAGATAACCTTCCACTAAAGCAAAGTACATATCTGTTTTCCCAAATAATTCAGGGTTCTGTAGAGAATAAAGCTATAAAAGAAAATGATGTATATTCACCATTTGTGCAATTGTTTAACCCTCAAAAGAAATAAATATAGACTCTGACATATCTCCTTTAGATTGATTTAGATTCAAAATTCTTATGTAGTTTACCTTTTCACAAAGCCAAACTAAAATCACCTTTACCCTCAAATACACACACACTCCTAAGAGGTCACACAATTCAATGGGGGGAAAAATAGACTTTCAATTAATGGTGCTCGGAAAACTGGATATCCACCTGGAAGAGAATGAAATCTGACTATGTACTACAAACGCTGATTTAACCAAGATAGAAGGTTTTTTTGTTTTTTTTCAATGTAAAAAAATTCCACAATGATTTTCTGGGGCTGGTTTGATGACGCCATCATCATTTCCAGATTGCTTCTATTCTGTCATTGTTAGCACTTGGTTTTCATCCTCAAGGTTACCTCATGATATTATTTGGCTACTAGAGCTCCAGTCGTCAGATCTGAATCCCAGGCAAGAAGAATATAGGTGGCCTACCACCTCTTAAAGGAGTTTTCCTGAAAGGACCATCCAACAACTCCTGCTAACATCTCATTAGATATACCCAGAGGGAATGTGGGCTTCATATTTTAGCTAGGAACAATACTCAAATAAAATCAAGGTTTTGTTTCTAAAGAAGAAGAAGAGACTTGATATTGAATGGCGTATGCGTTATTTCATGCTGCATACCAAATCACAACAAAATTAGTATCTTAAAATTAGAAGCACTATTATTTCATAGTTTCTGGTAGGTAAAGAATTCAGGAATGGCTTAGCCAGATTGTTTTGAAACAAGGTCTCTCATGTGGTTGCAATCAGGATATTGGCAGGGTCTTCAGTCATCTGAAGGTTTGCCTGGGGCTGGAGGATCCAATTTCAAGAAGGCTGTTGACAAGAGGCCTCAGCTCCTCCCAGGGCCATTGGCAGGAGGCCTCAGGTCCTTGCCACACGAGCCTCGCTACAGGCTGCTTGAGTGTCCTGATGATGTGGCTGCTCATTGCCCCTAGAGTGAGCCACCCCAGACAAAGCAGTGCTGAAGCAACAGTGTCCTTTATTACCTGGTCTCCCAATTCACACACGACATTTCCATTTTTTTTCTCTTAATTAGAAGTGAGTCACTAAGTCAATTCCACTCTTAAAGGGAAAATGATCTTGAAGGGAAGAGCATCAAAGAATCTGTGGACTTATTTTAAAACCACCACAGTAGGCTATTAGCACTTTCTGTCTTGCTCTGCCTCTTGTTTTCCAAACCATAATGCACACCTTTGTTTTCATACATAGAGCAATCTCACTCCTTCTCCAAGGGGTCAACACTTAGGTCTCTTTTTGTTACTGCATCACATCCACTGCCTAAGATTTCTGGGTGATAATAAAGCTCTCTCCAAGAAACCCGGATTGGGCTCCTTGCAGGCTAGCAGCCAATAAACTAAAGACATGTTTTCAGCCATCAGCAGATTTAAGTTTTCAGTGGTGGAGAAGGAACAGATCATTGCAATAAACCTGTCCATTTGGAAAAGGGAGAATGAGAAACACACATTAGTCACCATCCCATAATAATTATCAAAACTGACTAAGCAGGAATAGCCAGGACTTCCTGCCCTAGCACTGCAGGAAGTTCCCTGGTTGGCTACACTACAGGAGCTTCTGGTTCTTTCTCTCAGATGT